AGTGGAATAAGCGCTTCCCTGGCAAGTGCAAGGGCCTCAGTTCAATCCTGGGTTCTGCCAAAAAACAAACAAACAAATATCTACACATTGTTTTGAAGTTCATTATATTCATTATCAAAAATTCTTTTGGGATTTTCTGTCAATTCTTCAAATGTTTACATTCAAAAGCAACACAGTTATTAATTGATTATGTTCTTCCAACATGCTAAATATGGTTTCGACAAACATTAGATAGTCCATCTCTTCAAATTAAACTAGACAGCAGTGACCACATTCAGAAATGAGCTCTCAGACCACACACGAGACTTCTTGTGGTGAAACTCTCTAACTGAAAGCCACCAAATTGCTCTAAGTATTTCATCAGCAACTTAATCATTAGAGCCCTGTGGGCTCTGGAGAGAATAAATCTTGTCAGAGGCCAACAACAGCAAAGACACACACAAACCCAATCAATTTGCACTCACAAGCCATCCAGACATGTGCTACTTACACAGGCTTTTCATACTTTTTGTAGAGCCAAGAAATCTTAAAGAAGATGTTTGGTTTGATAATGAGAGCTTGCCATGCATCAAAATAACCCTGGATTTTCCTCACGATGGAAATTTCTAGAAAACAAAAACAAAACCAGAATTGCTAAACAAAATGTGAGCCTGAGAAGAGTACTGTGAGTCGGGAATTTACCCTGTAGGCTTCTTACCAAGGTAGGCTTTTTCGCTGAGCACAGCTCCATCACCTTTGGTGATTTATGCACATGAATGCTGCTGGACAACCTGAGCACTAATATATTCCATTCACATCTAAGTTGGTCAAGTTAACCAGAAAGTAGTGACACATTTTCAAATTTGTTTGAGACACAAAGTCTTTCATATTTCTTTTGAGTCCCTAATTCTCTCCTGTTTTTATAGACAAAGAGAACTAGTCATTAAAGCTGCTCTAGCCATAACTAGAAACTGGGAGCAAAATGCTGAGCTTGTTGGGCAAAAAATACTCACTACAATTGATGTTGGGTAAGTAGAGCCATTATGAAGTGGGCAGCTCACTGGCACTACACACCTAATTGAAAGCTCCTAATTATCACTTCATAGCCCTTTACTCATTTTCTTATAGCCCTTACCTTAGCACATAGCTTCTATATTTATTTTATTTTATTTTTATGAATTTGGTACAGGGTCTCACTACACAGCTCAGACTTATAGTGATCCTCCTGTTTTCAACTCCCCGGTGCTGGGATTACAGGTGCACACAAAGCCCCATCTCAGTGGATGGCTCAGCATGTCCAGGAGCAAGGCTGGTGTGGCATGTGGTGCCAGGGATTGAACCCCAGTCCCTGCGCTTGCCTAATCAGGCACTTAGTCCACTGGGCTATCTCACTGGCCCTGCTTCTATAGTTATTTATATTTGTCTAGATTATAGAATTCTCCTTAGTACCATCAGTACCTTTTCTTGAGCTTCATGCATATTCAGTAATAAATGATTACTCCTAAATTAAGTTGAATAACAGAACAAAAAATATTTGCCTTTTTCAAATTACATCATATTGTATACAAATGGAAAGGAACCAACATTTGATTAGAACTGCCACTGCTGTGTGTGTTACAAAAGAGATTTTAAATTGAGTCTTTATAATCTTCCCAAGGGAGTGTCAGGGTCTTCATCATTGAGGGCAAGAAACCTGAGTGACACCATACAGCCAGTGTGGCAGGCAGACTCTTAGACTGGAGCCTGGTGTTGTCTGATCTAGGGCAACATCCTTCCTCTGTGTTCAATGAATTCCATAGGCAAGGTAAATACTCAGCATAAAGGGAAATAAACACAACCCTCTCTGGGTTGTAAGTCATTGAGTAAGAGACAGAGGTTCAGTTATTTTGCATGATCCTTCATAATGATAGAGGCTTGTGCAGAACCAAGGAGTGAGGCCATGCAGTTATGTTTCCACCTACGTGAGCAGAGGTTTGTAGAACGGGTTAGAAGATGATTGGGGTAGTGGATATAACTGAAAATTTTCAGAGTGAATGGAGGCTTCTATCAAAATGGCAGTGAGGTGCAGTTTTTGTACAGCCCCCATAAGGACTAGTCAGAGCAGGGGACACAAGACAGGGCAGGAGCCAGGAGAAGGGAAGGGCTTATGGTGTGTCTTTTCAGTTGCATGTGGTAAATCAGGCGGCATATGTTAGGCCTCAGCTAGCTTGACAAATGTTAAAGCCCATGCATTGTTATTCTGCATTGAGCATTCTCCCTTTGGGTCTGCATGTGGCTCGATCTTACTTCATGCAGGCCATGTGTAAATGGCTTCTCCACGGAGGGCTTTCTGACGTCCCCGTCTGTACTACATGGACCACTCCTGTTGCTTCCCCTTTGCTGTCGTCTGTTTTCTGTTTACTTCAAGGCACTTGGTATTGTCTGAGATATTTGTTAAATATTTACTGGTTTTTCTACTCATATTCCCACTAGAATGTAAGCTCCTTGCAAGAAAAAATGTTAGTGGTCTTCTATTGCTCTGTCCCTAGGCCTTGCAGCAGTCCACAGCATGGAGTAGGCACTCAGTAAGCACTTGTTGAGGAGTTATACAAACCAGTGAACACACTAATTCAGGAATAATTGCATTAAGCTTGATACATTTTATGTCAAGAGCAGGCTAGAATTCATCTAAATAATTGTTCCCTTTTTCGTGGTACTAGAGTTGTGTGCGTATGCTTTAATATTCATTTCTGCAACATAGTGAGGAAAGTGAGACATCCTGTCCACACTCTTCCAGATAATGACAAACATGCATAGAGCAACTTTTCAAACTGTTTTTAACATAGTGGCTACTACATTAATAGCAGTTATCATCATCATTTCTGGCAGCAGCAGCAACACAACCGCCATTAGCTTGTTCTTGGCCTTTCTGAGACAGGGTCTTGCTCTGTAGTTCACACTGATCTTGAGCTCACTTTGTAGCCCAGGCTGGTCTCAAGCTCACAACAATCCTCTTGCCTCAGCCTCCCCAGTGCTGGGATTACAGACACATACCAACACACCTAGTGAGGTATTTTTAACATACAGATAAAGTCATGTTTTCATGTGTAGTTGCTTTGGGGAAGGATGTTTGTGCATTTAGAAATATATATGTAGGAATGTATATGTCATGCCCAAAGGAATAGTTGGTATCTGTGTCAGTCTTTTCTTTTTCTGCTGTTTTCAAAAGTGTTAAAATGACTTCTAAGGAAATGTGTTAGTTATATACTTTAGCTATATTATTCATTTCATATATAGCCCCAGGCAATTGCTGTTCAGTCAAAGAAAAATAGGACAGAAATTGGTGGGCTACACATTGAAGGCAGCTGGGTACATGTATCGGTGTTATTGTGGTAAGCTGTCCTTCTGACCAGCTAAAAAGGTTGGCTGCAATAGAGGCTGGCTCTCTAGAGCAATGAGGAGAGACACTAAGAAACAGAACCCTACCTTACGGAAATTTATAAAAGATGTTTATAAAAGAGCAAGGCAAAAGCACTAGGGGAAATATCTTCAAGATAATTACAAGTGTTTAGTCAAGAGCAAGGTACAAAAGTGTGTTTTCTTTCATTGCCCATTGTGAGGCTAACGTGATAACCACTACACTGTGGGAACTCGTTGCCCATTGTGATCACTGCCTGGTCTACTAAAGGGCAGGATGTCCAGTCATGAGAATAAAAGCACCAGTACCGTCCAAGGGGATCCCCAGGAAGAGCACGTTGGAGGTGTCCAGCATGGTGCGCCGCATAAGGGTCAGCACGTCCACATTGCCTGATGTACTGGTGACCTCCTCCATCCTGTCCAGGTGCCTTATGATGGACTGAGCACAGACTGCTACCATGCGAACAAGACCAGGGCCTGTCAGAGCTGCAGAACACATGGGACAATCAGCCTCGAGCAACTCCAGGGCACACAGTTTTGACTCCTGCTGTCTGCAGTTGAAGCGTTCACAATTTTGCTTTAAAGAATAGAGTGGAATTTTTCATACTCTTTATTACTTTGATGTGTTTTCCTAATTTTCTACAAGTACATAAGTATCTTTATGGTTAAAAATATGTGAATGAATAAATGCATGGATGAATATTATTTTAAAGGCACTCTTTCAAGTTTCAGGTTTTCTTAATGCTCTGGCAAATCATTTGTGAGATTTCACATGAAATAGTTAACACTTCTGATCAAATCAGAAATCAATGATGTTTTGACATTTATTGTGTACATTTCCCTTAAGAACATTTTAGATTTGGCTAACATCATACTCGTTTCATTTCCACAGGTGGCAGTATACTACCACATAACTAGTGAAATCAGTTCTTTTTACTTGAATTAAGGTGCTTCCCCTTTGTCTATTGAAGATATTAAATGGTAGTCTTACAGGGGGCTCAAAATGTTCTTCTTTTCATTTGCATTTCTCTTTAATTTATGCCTAGATTTCTTTTATTCAACTCCTTGTTGGTGCTGCAGCCCCCCCGCCCCCCGTACCACCCCAAACCAGTGCTCTTTAAGAAAAGTGGAAATTACTTGCTAGCATTGTGCATAAAATCAGTAATACATAGGGCTTCTCAGTTCTTATTTGCAAAGTAGAGGAATGAATGAACAAAATAGGGATTAGTGCATGGGTGCAAGCTCCCACGTGTTCTGTTCTGGACCACAGAGACAGTGGCTAGTGAGTTCCATGCTTTATCACAACAGCTTAATTCCTAAAGTCTTCATTCCTTTTTTGCTGTAAAAATTTTTTGGCTTCCTTTGGTAATAATGTCTCATGTTCCTTCAGTATGGACAAGCATCTTCAGATTGCTGGGAAACACATACTGTGTTACAGTACTCCTGCCTCCTGCCCCATCTCTGAGGATGAACTCTTCCACATTGCATTAACTTACTTCTCTGCACACACTTCTAATGAATTAGTGCTTTCTTGATGTTCTGAGTTCAAAAGCCAATTTCCAGTATTTCTGCCATACCAGGAAAATCAATGAGCAGCCCAATTCAAAGGGAAATTCAACAAAAAATGTTGAGGATTCTCATTGATTATAAAAGTATCAGACACCAAACAAACATTCAATAAGCAGGCATTCTTCTGAAGTATGACATTTAATTTGAGTCTAGTTCTGCAACATTTTTGTTAGAAAATGTGATGTAGCATATATAGGGTTAATCTAAAATAATTCATGAAGATGTTTTGATTGATCGCCTAGTACTGTAGGTCCTGCTCTTTTAACATTTCTTATACCTGTAGCCTCCCTCCCTCTTTCCATCCTCCCTACATCACTGCTGACATCAGTTTCCTCCAGACAGCCATGCCCTCAGCCACCATGCCCTCTGCCGTGCACTCAAATAAGAGGGAGAGTTTTCTGAAACACAAAGTTCATGTCACTCTGATGAAAAATCTTGAGCAAGTCCACCTAGCTCATGAATAGGCTCAACTCAGCTTATCAGGGAGCCTTTGGTGACCTGGATCTGCCCCCGCTTGGTTCCCCCCACGTGTGTTTGTATAGGTCCTGGGACTCATCATGTTTATCTCTTCTCTGCTTTGGAATAATCTATTGGATACTTCTAGTGTGTTTTCCCTTGTCATGCTTTCTAATTAAGTAGATTATATTTCCTTTAGAATGCATCACAAGTATCTACTCATCTGAAAAGTGATGCCCTGATACTTCGGTAGCTTTAGATGGCCCATTGGTCTGTACTCTGCAGTTCTGTGCACTCTTGTAGCTTTGCAGTGACTAGACCAGCATTTAGTGATACACTGGCCTAAACCCTCATGGCCCACACCTGTCCTTTACATGTCGTCAAGACACCCTGTTTTTCCATCACTGTATTCTTGGCACCTCATTGCATGATGACCACAGTAGCTTGTTAAAAAAAATAGATGACTTTAGAGACTCTATCAACTCTGGCATCACTGGATAGAGGATATATGAGGGTGTGAAAGTTAACTACAACTAAATACTAGTTCACATATTCCAAACAGATGAGAGTCAAGCAACAAAGTTAGGTTTACAGTTAATAAGATCAAATGGCGTTATATCATGTGTTGTTCACATGACAATAAAGTGCCAGCTCTGTGATGTTTATCAACTCTAAGGAAAATAATTGAAGCACAAAAGATTAAGTGAGCAGCCCAGAGTCACAGAGCTAGTTAGTGGCAGTATTGGGATTTGAAGCCACAACTTAGAAGCCTGATTCCTATCCTTTTTCCATTCATCCATTCTGTAAGGAGTAGGGAAGTTGATCTGCCCCCACATGAATAGGAGGCAGACAAAGAGGTCTCCCAAGGTGTCTGGGTCCTAATTTCCAGGAGCTGCTCATATGTTACACTGAGATAAGGACTGGCAGGCATGTTTAAGGTGAAGGACCTTGAGATAAGGAGATTAGTATGTATTCTCAGGGTGGGCCAGAGCTAATCTTCACAAGTATGGAAATGTTCCTTGCTGAGGTTAAGGTCAGAGAGATGTGGTGACATAACCAGGGTACCAGGGGATGTGACATGGGCAGGCCTGGACCACACCACCACTGTGGAGTAGAAGTGATTTGTGGAGTCTTGGAACAGCAAGGAGAAAGCTTCCCACCATAGCCTCCAGAAACAGCCTCATCAGCACCTCAGTGTTGGCCTATCAGACCCACAGCTGACTTCTGACCTGCCCAAGTATGAGACAGCAGATGTGTCTTTTGCTAGGGGTCTATAGCACTGGAGCCTGTAACAGACTGGAGCTGAGTCCGAGCACCAGGCACTTCTGTGGAGTGGGACCGACATATGGCAGGCACACACAGAGGGACAGCTTCACCCTGTGTGAGAGCCATGCAGGAGACATCCAGGCTCACCAAGGAGGTCAGTGGAGGGAAGAGTACTGATAGGACAGGGTCCACCTAAAACCTAGTGAGCTCCATGCTCCACCACTGACCACACTTCAGGCCCTGATTACCCTTCTGGATGCTTGTCACACCAGACGTTGACCTTGTTTGTTGCCGTCTTCATCACTTCCAGTATGGTGCAGTAAAGGTGGAAAATCCCTAGCTAAGAAGGCTTAGAATTGGGTCTCTGTTCACCTGACTCGCTCTGGTGCCTAAGTGAAAGTCACAGCCCCTGTATGACTATTTCAACTATAAAACTAGGAGGCTGGGTGGGCAACCCACATGCAGTCCCTTTTCATGAGTTAAAATTCATTAATTTCATCCACAAATTGATTTCTCCTAAAGTGTGTGGGCTGCCAGTAATTAAGGGAACCCTTTGTGTAGTATGATGACATACTGAACGCTTAGTTGGAAGGACCCTAAATGCATAGGTCTGTCTCTTCATAATCTCAGGAAATGGCTATGTATCTCGATGCTGGGCTGTAGATGTAGGCTCCAGGTTGCACCCAAAGGCCCCATTTAGTAATGGCGGCACTTAGAGACAGCTACAGAACCGCCTCATGCCTCAGTGTTCTTGTCTGCACAGTGTGGTGATCAGGGTAGCTAGCCCAGGCTTTTGCTGTGGGATTAAAACATCAAGAGCTTTGAACAATGTCTGATATATGATAAAAGTGTAAAGGAAGCCCTTCTCATGTCACTTCTAATCAGTAAAGCCACACTTTAAATACTACATTTAAAATGGCATATTTGTAACCAAAGGGAAAAGTCCAGCCAGGCTCCTACTTACCTTTCATAAAGAAAGGTCGAACAGCTTTCCAGATGTCTGGGTTATTGTTAAATATGATGCCATTCTCGTGCATCCCAATGCATTGTAGCCCAGGCTTGCTGCCAAATCGGGAAATATAGTGACTGTGTTTCATTACATGGAACATACTTGAGGACCTGAAAAGAAAACAAACTGTTGCTAGTCTTCTTATCACAGAAGATAGAAAGCCTAGTGCCCTACTAGCCGCACCCCGGGGCACGTTGAGATGGTGGCTGAGACTGGGCGTGGTGGCACACACCTGTAATCCCAGCGCTTGGGAGGCTGAAAACAGGCAGATCATTATGAGTACAATCTAGTAATGAGACCCTGGACAGCCTGTACTAAATAGAAGGAGAAGGAGAACGAGAACGAGAACCTGCTCGCATCCTTCCTTGTTGCCCCCTCTTCGCTAATCCCAAGTCATAAGCACACAACCCACCATGGGGGCAGAGCTGCAACTCTTATAAAGCTGAATCCAATGCAGCCTTTCCCAATAGTTTACCTCCTACAAAAGTGAGCCAGAGTTACTGCAGAATCTTGCTTTGCTAGTTTACAGGTATCCCATCTAGAAGTTGCCAATCCCTCAAAGTCTGGCTTTCCAGCACCTGGCTGCACTGACATGGAGGCTCACTGTGCTGGTAGGAGAGCTTGTTTCTGGGCTCTGTACGGTATTCCGTCACGACTTACCATGGTCTCTGGGATCACAGGTTTCTCCTGTGTACAGAATGTGGTGATTCATTAAGGAGGGCAATTTGTATGGCACCCAACAGTGCAAACTCAAGTTGCATTAAGTAACATGAGTGTTGCGTTCATTTCACATGTTGTTACTTTTTAATTTGGTGAACTTTACATTTATGCATGTTGTCATGTATTCATTACTACTTCTCCTTTCCCTCTTCTCCACTTAAATTTTATTCCTCAACAGCAAATTTTCCTACTATTAAAGTGTTCAGAACACATAACCCTCAAATCTTAACAGTGACTACTATAGTATATGCACCTGATTGCCAGACTAAGTTGGAGAAGCCGTCTTAACACATGCTCTTTCCTCTCACTGTTGAAACTTGTCTCCTAAAACAATGACTGTAGATAGGAAACAGGGAGATAGATCTTCTACAGAGGAGAAGAGGACCATGAGATGGAGGGTGTGAGGATCAGGACTAGAGACAGGGGATGAAAAATGGAACCTAGGATGTGTTCCATACACAAAGCACTCCCCAGAATGAATGTAATCATTATGTACTATAATGAAACTCTTACATTTGTGATGAATTTCATTATCTTATTTAAAGCTTGAATGATCCTGATATAAATAACTAGTTCCCTTGACATTCATTTCAGGGAAAAACTCTTAGTTTTAAAGAAAATATTATTAAACCAAATGTTCTTTTTATTTGACTACAGATAATAGACTACAGATAATATTCATCCAGTAAACTTTAATTTTGACAAGTTTTTCTCTTCCTAGCAATAAACAAAATAGAAGATCCAGATGCTTCCATATGTATGGAAAAATCATGAACTAGGACCTACCTTATGTTGTTGGGGATCAGGCTCTTGTAAGGGTTAATTTGCTTACCACAGTGCTCTGAAGCCAAGGTACCACATAGCTGAGGCAGCTGAGGACCCGAGTTCTCACTCTATTCTAGGGAAGTAACTGTCACCACTAGGAATGAGATAGTTCTCTTCACTACTGCCAGAAATGTCAGTTAAATTCAAATGGACACTCCATGTAGCTGACTTTTTCTTGTTCTGACTTTTCAAGTTTTCCTGCTCACCTCACTTTTTCCTTTTGTTTTCCTTGATGCCCCCAGAATTTGTCTGAAACCCAATAAACACAGGCAATTCAAAGAAGTATTTTTCTTAGCTCCAAGAAAGTTGTGACTTTCCTGGACCCCAAAACCATATTGCTTGTCTCTTTTATTTAAGTCTTCGCTTTACTCATTTTAGGAGATCAGGAACCCAGCCAAGCTCCTCAACACATTAGTACTAATTAACACATTTGAAATGATATCTTTTTTCACTTTCACATTCCTCCTTCTGTAATTAAAAAAGTAATGTTTCTGTTGTTTGTTCATAAAACTTAATCTAAACATTTAAATATTTAGTGTGTGTGTGTGCTCCTGCTGTGGCCCCTAGAACTTTTGAAGCCCGCATGAATCATATGGTCCTATCAGTTTCCTTGAAGGAACTATTAATGAAATTGTAAACAGAAAAAGAATCCTCAAATGTAAAACAAAGAAAATGAAACGGTATTTTGTCAGTCAATAACGAACCAAGTTTTAAAACCCGTGTGTCCTTAAGAGGGCGCCAAGATCTCAGTTAAGTTCACACTGCGCAAATGGCAAAGCCAATTAGGAAAAAGTGGTGCAACCGGTGGAGAGGCCCTGGCCACAAAGGACAATTAGAAGGGGGCCTGGATTTATCAGAGCAGAGAATCCCTGGCCATGTAGGACTATTAGTAGTGAGGCGGGATTTATCTAAGCAGAGAATTCCTGAATGGCGTCAGTGAGCCTGCTCGCAGCACAGGCTGAGACAGTTGTCCTGCTGGCTGGAGAGTAAGGATTTCTCAGCACTGAGGAGACACCATTTGAGTCCCCAAACTCAGAAGAGATAAAAGGAAGCATAAAGTGACCACCTGGGGCTATTCTTCTTTGAACTGAAGTCAAAAGACGTGTCCAAAAGGACAAACTTGTCATCTCTTCCAAATGAAGAGTAGCCAGGAAGTAGCTCTGAAGGTACAAAGAAGGAGCACCTCAGACCTGAGTTTATGTAACTCATATACCTCTGGCCAGGTGGGCGGAGGAGTGCCAGAAAGAGAAGGCAATTGATGAGCATATTGCAAACAAACACTTAAAACTGCAGAAGTTGCCTCTCGTGGACTTGTTCTGTGCCCTAGACTTGGGTTCCCTCATTCCTATCACCTGTCCGCTGTCCTGTGCCCCTCTGATATTTACTTGACTCAAATTCTAGGGTCACTGCAAGGGAACAACAGTCTTTACAACAGGAAGTTCTGACTGTATCTAGCACAACCTGGTGAGAAGATCTGGTTACATCCAACATTTAACTAATCCAGCTGCCAGCACCAAGTGGAGCCCACACCCACCCACATTCTCACCCTGCTCCAGGTCTCAGTTAAATTCAGGTGGACACTCCATGCAGCTGGCACTGTCTCCCTTAAGCATTTCCTCTCTGCTCTTCTGTAAGACTGTTATCTTCTACCTCCTCAGTCTCAGCTGAAGATTTTATTTTTGATTTTCCAGAGAAAATAAGAACCAGCAGAAGAAAAGCTGGTCAAGCTCCAGCCACAGGACCCATGACACGTACCCAGCTTTCTCTCCTCTTAGGATGGTGAAATTCCACACCCTATTTGAGGCCACTTGCTTCATGACCCCTTCACACCTCGCCAGCTCAGCCTTCTTCCCCCATCTGCAGTTTCCCTCCATGCTGTACCACCACAACTCACCTGCGGTGGTATCTCTGCCATGAGAATGAGAACTCCTTTGACTGAAGACCCCTGCAGCATGTCCTACTTCCTGCCTCCTCACAGAAAACCCCCTCCTTTCAGAGAAACAGAGATAATGGGCCACCCTTTTGATATACATGCTGCATGATGTTTGTCAGTGATGGACTGCATATCTGACAGTGTTCTGTGAGATCTCATCACTAAGTGAAATGGAAAACATCTTAGTGCAGATGCATGCTATGAGAATGGTGTGAAATCTGTGGCATATATGCCACAGTGGGCTCTCTCGATTGTTGAAAGCTCTAAAGAGTTCACTATTGCTGGGCGTGGTGGAGCATGCCTATAATCCCAGCACTCGGGAGGCTGAGGCAGGAGGATCATTGTGAATTCAAGACCAGCCTGGGCTACAAAGTGAGCTCAAGGCCAGCCTGAGTTGCAAGGTGAGACCCTGTTCCCTCCCCACCAAAAAGGAAAAAACTTGCCATCACTGCTCTATAATGTGTACATTATGATACCTTGCTCAGAACATATCCTAGTGTTAAGTGATTCATGACTGAACTATGTATTTTACTTGTTTATTGTTGGTATAGTAAAGTATACTGCTGCAAGAGGGTAGAAATGCTTGGCTAATTGTATTCCTAAAGTGATATATAATATAACTGTATTCCAGGAGTCTAGAATTATATCTGGTGTACAGAATATGTTCTCAATAAATGCTTACCAGCTTCCCTGGTGGTCTAGTGGCTAGGATTTGGTGCTTTTAATAAATGCTTACCTACGAGTATAGAGCCACTGATTCACACTTAGGACCACAGAGTGCTTCATTAATGTGTAAAACAGAAAATTAAATGAATCATTTATAAATTTATACATGAATAAGACATGTTCACATGTCCATTGCTAATTCCCCTGAAATGCTACTCAATTTATTTTTACGTTTTTGACCAAAAAAAAAAATAGATACCCATATAGTAGATATAAAGTGTCATGCTTATCATCTGTGGGCTCTTTTAGAGGTAGCTGCGGAGATGGCTGCCTGGAGCACCAGGGCCTCCTGTATCTACAGATGACCAGAGGGGCCTGGCCTCCGAGCCTCCCCGAGGTTCAGCAGCCCCACTCCTGTGCCCCTGAGCTTCTGTAGCCCCTCCCACTTAGGACAAAGCTGGCTGGGAAAGTTGGACTGTAGTCTCTGCAAAGAAAAAGACAGCTGGCAAACTACTAAAATAAAATTCAAAAGCTCTCTGAGGCCCAATGGAGTCTTTTTTTCAAGAGGTACGAGCAGTTCTGGAGCAGCTTGGAGAGCAGGCAAGGAAAGGGGATGGAACCAACGTGTCCCACTCCTAGGGAGCTCAGCACTGAAGGACAGAATTGAGCTGCTCTGAGACAATTAAGGGGAACACAAAGGCTCCTATAGGGAAAAGCTTGAGAGCACAGGAGGCGAACAGGACAAAAACAGAACGGCAGAGCTGGGTTCAGCAGCAGGTGTGTGCATGCCTCTGTGTGCTGCTGTGCCAGAGCTGCTCAGTCACCCATGTTGGTGCCTTTTAAGGCAGGCAGAGTAGTCAGATGCCAGTCTGCTGTGTGCGTGCATCCTGCTTCAGGAATGGTCTCTGGGCAGTGGGGAATTCAGCTGATGGCTAAGGATCTACTGTCTAAGTGTTTCTGCCTGGTATTCAGTCCTCAGATAATCACTCTTCACCCCAGATCTAGCCTTCACCACCACGTTAGTTAGACAGAACCACTCCTCCGTGCTTACGTGTTTCCCATAGCCCATAGGAAAGGGCTCCTGTGCCAGAACCTTCCTTTGTTCCTTCTGTACTGTTGGGAGGTTTCCAAACTCTGCAGCCCCCCTGGAATCTACTGGGGAGCTAAAACAGCAGCGAAGTGTGGGCCCCACTCCCAGAGATCTGAGCTTAAAGGCCTAGGCTGTGGGACTTTGGGCAGCTCCTCAGGGACTCCAATGGGCATCCAGGGTGAGCACCCCTGCTCTGGGGCTGAGCTGCCAGTAGACCTCCTTTTGGACAAAAGTTCCAAGGGCCACACAACAGTTTGCCCAGGGCAGTGGGGGACAGGAAAGGGAGATGCTGAACTGAGGAGGCCTGGAAGGCAACTTGCTTCAGGGGATGACCCATCAGGAGGGGAGTTCCCAGTCCTCTCAGCCCAGATTTCCTCTACTGTAGGATCTGTTTGAGGCATTAGCCGGTTGTAAAAGTGACCAAATTGCTGATGTTTGAAATGAGAACTCATCCAACTGACTTGGCTGGCCAGGGCTCAATAGACCAGACAAGTAAAACCAAAGAGTAATTTTGACCTGGGGATTAGCACTTTGGGTCTCATTTCCAGTGTGCACCAGAATCCCCAGGAGAGTTTGTCAAAACACTGCTGCAAGGGGAAGTTCAGGAAGTCCTTCCCCTGGGCTTTCTTATTTAGGCCAGAAGGTCCAAGAGTGTGTATTTGTAACATGTTCTTGAGCTTGTTGCTGCTGCTGGACAGTGGTAGACAGAACCAGTGTGTTAGAGTGCTTGACAATAAACCCGGGGAAATGACATTTCCGCCAGCAGCCGTGCATGTGCACTTATAGAAATGTGGTTGTCCTCAGCTGTCCTCCCAATTGCAGTAACAGTACACTTAAAGGAACAGGAAAGCATGAGGCAAAAACTGTGGCACTGGATCCATTCAAACAACACTATGAGGTGGCCAGAGGCATTAGGAAGCATAATGTTCCTCCCCAACTCCCTTCCTTTTAATATTTGGGTAATGCTTTGGACTTGGAGCACACCACGGTACTTGATGAAATGATGCATGTAATTGGCCTGAGAAAATCCATGCAGCTTCTGGAAATACTTCACTTAACTCTGAGCAAGTCTATGATTCTGGATGAGTGACTTTAACGAGTCAGTAGAACACCTTGGTCTGTTAGGTTGTGACTAAGTCTCTGTCCGGAATTGTAACTGAAAGTTTCTAATGAGACAGTGTTGGCAGACAGCTTTGCTAATATCCTTTGAGATATTAACTGAAAGTAGTGAAATATGCCTTTCTGAGGATTCTCCATTGTCTAAATTCTATAAAGAGGAAAACTAATCTTTCATAATTTCTTCTGATTCAATGCATTGGTTAAGCCTAGAGTAAATTCAACCGTATTCAGTAATCCAGAAAACGGTAGTGCAGATGAGAGAACTTAATTTTTTAACATGCAATAGTATTTCTGATTCATTCTGGCAGTGCTAGATAGGGGAGTAGCTCGTCAAGGGCTTCTTTTCTGCTGTCTGCTGTCACAGAGGTACTCAGTGGCCTGGCATTAAAAACACACTAGCAAATTACCAGTCACGTATCTGTTCAACAGATTTTTTTGTTTAAGCTAACTTAAAAAGATCAGATTCTCAGGTAAGATAGTGCCTCTCTCTAAAGTACGTTTACTCAATAGAAAATCACTTGGGTTCCAATCTTGTACATTAAAAGCTGTTTTAATAAAATCCAAGTTTTGCAGAATTCTTTATCTCTGTTGTTTGGCTTCAAATCAAGAGAAGCTTAGTTATTCTATATATCTTTAGTGTTAGATTTTTAGCTGGGAATTGCTCCCTTTTATTTAAATGTGAAAAAATAGACTTAAAAGATGTCAAGGAATCAAAATAAAATCCTTTTTTTTTTTAAAGGGGGGAAATCCTGTCCTTGATTTTTGAAAGTATGTGTCTGCTTTATTACCATTATTTGGGGGGAGCTGAGAACCAGACCTGGAGCATGTTCAGCAGTCCCCCACCAGTGAGTTATACCCAGCCCCAGTTTCTTTTTTTTTTTATTTTTTGCGGAACCGGGGATTGAACTCAGGTCCTTGCGCTTGCCAGGGAAGCGCTTATTCCACTGAGCCATCTCCCCAGCCCTCCAGTTTCTCCAATTATTAACATACTTACTTGCTGATAATAAGTGTTTCCTCTCCATTTATCCAGACTCTCATGAATTCTCCGTATGTCTTGTTGTAGTAGTTGCAGGCATTGCCAATCCCCATCCACAGGAATCTGCCATGGGAAATGAGCGGCCCAATTCCCAGACAGTAGCCAGGACCTAGGCGAACACATCAGAACACAATCAGTGTCTCTGCAACACCGAAAGTACTAGTTCTTTTTATCTGAATGTTCTTTACATCTTCTGCTGTTTATCTGTGAATTAGTAGCAAAGTGAGTTAAAACAGCAGAACAAATCAAGCTTGACCTGAGACTCCTCACCCCTCCACAAGGAAAAGCATTTGGCGTCTGCATTACACTGGCTCATTTTCCTCAATCATTTCAGGCTCAGTGAACTGGGCAATGTGCACTCAGTGCTTCCCAAGTTAAGCAGTGCCCGTGATTTTCAAACATAAATCCTCAGCTGTGTCTGGTAATAACTT